CTCCCAGCGGATTATCTTCGATTCTAAATCCATGCCTTGTGGAACAGGAACTTTGACCCAAAGGCTATGTGCACTGCTTACAACAGTGCTCTCTTGGGCACGAGATAAACTGCAACCGCGCTGCCTTGTGTGCTTCCAGCAAAAAAGCTAGGCCCAGGCCCACTGGTTATATATAACTGGTGGTTGTCGTTAAAAATTGGGCAATTCCAGATATAAAAATTTTTTGACCCAAACATCTTCCATGTCATCACAAAATAAAGAAAGAAAAAATCCCCTATTCCCTGGAAGACCTTAAATAATAAAGAGGTGACAATATCCAGAAAGTATGCAACAGTGGAGGTGAGTTGCGGAAAATCGAGCGTACCCTCCTGGAATACCAGACTTGGCACTTTAAATACTGGAGATCCATGGAGATCGTCAACATGATAGAAAGGCGAATGGTTGGAAACAAGATGGAAATCAAATGGTGTCTCTTTCATTGGGAGTTACAAGTTGTTCTGGAATGGCCAAAAGACAACCCAAAATGGAGTGGGAATTTTCATACGGGAATCACTGGCACAAAATGTACTAGAGGTAGTTCGAATCAACTCACGTTTAATACTGATTAAACTCAGAATGGGAAAACAACAGACCGATGAATCCGCCAAAAACGACTTCTGTAACACACTCTCAGGTGCCGTCAAGAAAACACCATCATTAGAGATACCATTGATATGTGGCGACCTCCACGGCCATGCTGGAGATAAAGCAAATGGGTTCCACGGTGTCCATGTAAAAATATGACTTAAATATGAGTCTTTGGCTACGGGTCTCAAAACGAAGACGGTCTACGGATTCTGGAATTTGCTGAAAGCCATGAACTCTCCCTGTTGAACACTTATTTCAAGAAGATGGCAGAACATTTGATCACTTATAAAAGCGGGATGTCATGCACACAAATGGATTTTATTATCGTCAGACAACAACAGAGACGACTATTCAGAAATACAAAAGTCATTCCAGGCGAAGCATGCATTCCTCAACATCGATTGCTGGTGGCCGATATGATCATGGAACGATCACGCGCTGTGACTAATCGAACGCCTTTTAGAATAATGACATGGAAACTGAAAAACCCACGTTCAGGGAGAAATTCGAGAAGTTGGTATTGGCACAGAGCACTAGCCACCCGTCCAAGAGGTCGCCTAAAAAGTCCTGGACGCAGACCATACAGGAGGACTTGAAGGCACTTGGTCTCAAGGAGACAGACGCAATAGATAGATCGGCTTGGAGACAGAAACTGATGAATAGAATAAAAAAGTCCGACCCATAACGGATGGAGACTATAAACGAGGATTGATTGATTGATTAAAATGTTATAGCGCTGCACTGAACATGATGATTCATTATACATATAATGAGTAATGTGCATTTGCATCAATATAAAAGTTAAATTATGTTAAATTTAGTTGTGTGGTAAATTACTTAACTTTATCTCATGCCACTGTAATTCAAATATTCAAAACACTTGATGCTAGAATATTCTTAAAAATAAAAACTTAGTATTACTGTCGCGGGTATTTTATACTATTATTAACCTATTGTTATTTTCACGGCAGAATGATGTGATGATTAAAGGCGCTTAGTCCAAGTTCACACACAACAGTTAAAAAACATTATAACGTTGCAAACGTTTCCAGGTCAAGGTTCAGGTCAAATAGTGCGAGCAGTCAAATCCAGGTGTAGTACAATGACTACTATTAATCAGATAATACTCGAAATACGTCAGGGCAAGCATAAATATCAAAGTACTTCCAATTTAACATTCAAAGAAAAATTTCTAAAGGATGGAATTTAGCACAAAAATTGGTGATGCTCTATACTAAATTCAATGTCTTGGGTTTCTCACATTAAAATATTGAGACCTCTATTATACTTCCAATTTAAGAGACTCATAACCTAGATTCAAAAACCTGATTCATTTGTAATGACAAGATTGAACTTGCGTTAAAAGATTGAGGAAGAAAATCTGATCAATTTTGTTGGTTAAAATGGTTATCATTCAATTAAACAATTAATCAGTCAGTCAGTCAGTCAGTCAGTCAGTCAGTCAGTCAGTCAGTCAGTCAGTCAGTCAGTCAGTCAGTCAGTCAGTCAGTCAGTCAGTCAGTCAGTCAGTCAGTCAGTCAGTCAGTCAGTCAGTCAGTCATTCAGTCAGTCAGTCAGTCAGTCAATCAATCAATCAATCAATCAACCAATCACTCACTTAATCAATCAACCAACTAACCAACCAACCAACCAACCAACCAACCAATCAATCAATCAATCAATCAAAATCAATCATTTAGTTTGTAAAGAGCTATTTCAGCGATGTTTATCTGCGTTCCTCAGTGAATTGGTATTGAGATTCGTTCTGAACTTCGTAATTGACGTTGAAGTAGTTAGTGAAAGAGGTAGAGAGCTCCAGAGAAAACTGGAAAATTAGTGAACAGGACACTGAGTCGTGAGCCCGTGGCTACACCGTCAATTCGCTTGTGTAGATGTGGAAAGGGGCTTCGGTGGTTGCAGATTTAAAGAAGAGATTTGATATGTGTTTTTGGGGATATTTTTAAGGGGACTAGGTCTGTGTGATATACACTATTGATGATAATATCAATTGCGTCATGCAATCAACACATGCAACTCCAATAACCCGCCAAATTCTTGACTACAACACAAAAATAATTTATCAAAACACCAACACAATACATCTAAAAATTGCAGAAGCTGTCCTAATAGATATCAATAAACTCCAAATAAACATCCGACAAAGAATGATTACACCATTACCAACTCGACGCCTTAATAATAATAATTTCAATAACAATGAAGATCAAAGAAATGACAACAACAAACATGAAGAATACGACACCAACTAAGTAACCCACTTTGCTAAAGAACTAACTTGGCATTGTTTAAAGAAACTATATAAACCAAACCTGCACTGAAGATGATTTGTGAAAAATTGAAATAAGGCCTATTTGCATGATGAATTCGGATAACAACCGTTTTACTAAATTTTCATGATGAGAACTTGGATAATAACTTTATTTTCAATGAATTTAACAATTTCTAAAAAATTCTAGTAAGGAAAAATATAAAGACAAACTTCAAATTGATAAATGCCAACAATTCGGCATGCAATGCTATATATATATATATATATATATATATATATAATATTACCTAAATTATATATATATATATATATATAAATTATGATAGAATTAGTTTCGTTCTTGCGAATTTCAAATTTTGAAAAATAAAATAAATAATCTCAATCATATATACACGTATTTATATTCATAAATATATGTAAGAGCATTGAAACACACAATCATGTAGATAAATATAATAAATAAATAAAATATTTTTTTTTATTTTGATATGCAATGTATCTAAATAAATAATTGTTACTTCATGGTTTATTGGAGGTTTTATTTATACCTATATACTGTAAATTCTAACTTAACTGTTCGATGAAAATGATAAAGATCTGCTGAATGCAAACAACATATGTAATAATGTAAGTTTGAAAGTGAGCGGTGAGATCAAAAGGAAAGTTGCTTTGATGTTGGCGTTCATTATTGTTTTAAACTTAGAGGCGGCACGATAAAAAAATAGATGAAAGAGCGGTTAATCGTCGAATCGTTCTTCATCTTCTTCTGCTCTTCTCTCTCCGACGCAAAAGTGTTGCTCCCTTTTTAAATGTTATTAATTTTTTACTGGAGCTATTAACATGTTACTAACAACTATCATAATCTATCAACTTTTTTGCATAATAAATGCAGCTTTTTTATATGTAAATATAATAAAGTACTTGTATATTATCTGTGTATCTGTATATTTTTGTATAGCAATGAATATAAATGTATTTATTTGTATGTATGTGGTGTGTCAGTCTGTGTGTCTGTGTGCTAATTAATTAATTAATTTATGTATTGAATGTCAATTTAATGATCTATGTTTGCAACTACATAAGTATAACATCTTTAAATATGAAAAACATACCTCAAGTTTACATATAATTTGTATAGTATTATATAAACAGGCATACACGCGCACACAAACACACACACACAAACACAAACATATATATATATGCATGTATATACGCATATACATACGTCATATATACAAAGATATAAAGATTCAAACGCAACATTTGCTCCCCACATTCATTAAGCGAAAGTTTCATTGAATATAACAAGGAAGAAAATGCGTTTAATGTTTTTAAATAAATGCTTTAAAATGTATATAACTTTTTTAATGTATTTAGCATTTCTCAGTATGGGATACCTCTACGCCCAACATGTAACGAGAAACATTTTAAAATCAAAATCAAAATTATTAACATTACCAACAATAATGCCAAATCAATCGTCGACCATTCACATCTCTTCAACGGTACTCAAGAACAACTCAAATGGTGATAAAAGTTACATAAATTGTTCGAAACTTAATGAGGCTCAGATTGCCAGCAAAAATTTTTCATCAAAAATAAACCAGCGGAACGGCTTATCTGAAAATGTAATTAATAAAAGTAAATTAAGGATCGGAAAACAATCAGCATTGCAAACAAAGACTTGGCAAACAAAATTGATGAAAAAATATTACATAAGAAATACATCTGTTGTTTGCAATGACGGATCTACTCCAAGGTATTTTTTAACATCAATTTTACACGCTCCTGTTTTATTTAAAGTTAAATAGATAGTTTTCTTTATGCACCGAAATCTATATATATAATATCTATATTTAAAATAATATATGTAAATAATATATATATAACATTTATATCACACCACCTACCAATGTTTTTGATTTGTTTGCATTACTAGCTTCATATATTTCATGACATTGTATCTTCGTCCTATCTAATTGAATTATTTATGGCTCATTTTGAATCGGCAATAGCCACTGTAATTTGTGTTTCTATTTGGGAGCTGTTTTACAAAAAATTATTTCTGTTATTGTTTGACTTCCCAAAGCAATAATGGGTGAATGTGCCCGTAATTAACGGTGTATTAGAAAGAGTTTGTAGAAAAATATTCATCAGTTGAATTGATCAGGTATGATAACAGAAGTGAAATTTTGAAAATATTTGTTAAAGAAAGCTAGATAAAAAAGCAGAAAAACAAAAGAGTCGCACAATGATTTGCAGCTTATAGCAATCTTTTGTTTTTTCTTATTATTTTTAATTTTGAATTTGTTAACTTAAATGTTTCATCTCTAAATGAAACACATGTTTCACGATATTTTTGTTAAAGAATAAAAACATTAGAAATCTAAAATCCAAAAAAACCAAGATGGCTGTGAAAGAAATTTTATTCAGCTGCGCTTTTTTTATTGGATGGCTGTGAATTAAGAACAATTAAATATGGTATATATCTGTTTTTAATTATGTAACTAATGTAATCTATGAATTTCAAACTAATCAGTTATTTTTAATTTATTTAAAATTTATTATTCCAGTTATTTTTTGAGAAAATCTACGGAACCTAGATGGATTATATTTTTAGAAGGTTGTGTTTTCTTTAAAGTATGAAAAATAAATTTTATTAATACATAGATTAAACTTTATTAGGGGGCTGGTTGTGTTTTGACAAAAATACGTGCACGAATCGCTGGCGAAATAGTCCCGATCTCATGTCTTCAAAATTTTTACCTTCTTTTATTAAAGGTTTTATTAAAAATACAAAAAAATAATAAAAAACAATAAGCTTTGGAATAAAAAAAATTTAGGACAAGGCATCCAGTCAAACGACGAAAACGAAAACCCTTTCATTTGGAATGGCAATCATGTGTTAGTAAATTATTAACCACTAACTTAATGATAGCTTTTATCAACGAATTTGTAAAACGCGCGTTTCAAACAAGAATAACTATAAATCTTAAACAAATTAATCATTTTGATATTTTACAGTTACGTGCCATACTGCTCGAGTGATTTATGGAGCGGGTCTTTTAAATCTCTTGAAAAAGGTATAACAAAATTTTTCACTGTTAACAGATATGTTGAATTTTTAAGATTATTAAAAAGCTATAAAAAGATTAAAATTAAAATGGAACTTTAATTCATGTAAAATTACAGAATTTAAATTCATTGAGTTTTTCAACTTATTTGTATTTTTGTTTCATTTTGACCATTTTTCGATTATTGAATCTACGACATGATTTAAAGAAAAGTATTGAAAAATATAGCTACAATTTATTTTTATATAAAATAATTTTATTCAGCATTTATGAAAAAATTACTTCTGATATTTTATCAAAAACTGCAGTGAAAGTTTCAAAACAATGTACATAGTTCATTTATAAATGCCAAGTTTATATTGTTTATCATTGAGATATATTCCTCCTCAATTAAATTACATATTGATTTGGACAGATGGATTTTCTTTTATGGGTGCGTTAATCATCGAGGAAGTTATTAAAGACATTGTTGAACTTCATGTTTACAATCGAAAGAAAACATTCAAATCACCAGATTTTTTCTTCTCTGGTACAAGGCAAGATATTAGTACATTAAAATAATTTTCGATATTAATTTAGCTTTTGGTTCCGACATTAGCGCAGGCGGAACTGGAGTGCTTTTGAATATTGATAGCGTTGCTAGAATGATTCGAAATACCATGCGAAGACTGAAAATCAAAACAAATCCTCAGTTGACCAATTATAAAAAACTAACCAGCGATCGTGTAGTTGTAAAAGGCATAGCGGACTCAGGATGGTTTATTGAAAACGATCAAACTTCATTCAGCAAGTGTACTGATTCACTATTTTGTTCTCCTGTTGAAGTTATTATTAAAGCAATCAGGTATTTATTAATTTTGCTCTAAATAATTTTATTTTTATTGTACAATTTTATATTAAGCCAATTTCTTAATTGTTGACTAAAAAATTACTTATTGAATAACATGACTGCACTGGACATCAGAAATTGGTTGATATCTTTTTTTTTCATTTTTTGAGATTTCTCGGTGTTCGAGTTTATTTTGGTTACACAAACTTGGTCCAAAAATTTAGAATTCAGAGTTGGTAAACATTCTTTGTTGGATTTATTGATATCTATTAGGACAGCTTCTGCAATTTTTAGATCCATTGTGTTGTTGGTGTTATGATAAAATAATTTTGTGTTGTTGTCAAAAATTTGGTGGTTTATTGGATTTGTATGTGTTGATTGCAAGTGAGATTTGATGGCTCCCCTTTGTGCATGCATTGTGAAACGTCTTGATAGTGAAGTGGTCGTAACACTAATATGCGAATGTTGTTAACGCGCACAGTCGTCAATAGGGCATTTAAATTCACATATTACATGATTATGATTCAAAGTAGAATCGTCTTCAGGTGTGCAGTTGTTCTTTAGGACAAATTGTGATAACTTAGTATTGTTGTAGTATATCATGAGTTATATTTTATTTGTATCACTGATCGGTGTAGCGTTTTTTTATGATTTGTTTGAGGACGACATCGTCTATTTTATGTGCCGTTGACATATGATTTCTGCATTATAGGATTATGTCGTTGTCATCGTCGTTTTTGAATATATTTCTATCTTGCTGTAGTCTTTGTTGAATGGCGCTTTCAATGGATGATATTTTGTAACCACTGCTTGCTAATATATTGGTAATCCTTTTCGGTTCAGTATTGCGATCCTCAGTTGAGAATGAATGCGTAAATGCACGATTCACGAAAGATTTTATTGTACTTATTTTGGATTGTTCCGAGCATTCGCTTAGCCCATTTAAACAAATACCTTTATTTGTTGCTTTGAACTAACTTTGCTTTGTTTAAAGATACTATATAAACCAAATCTGCACTGAAGATTATTTGTGAAAAATCGAAATAAGGCCTATCTGCATGATGAATTTGGATTATAACGGTTTTATTAAATTTTCATGATGAATTAAGATAATAATTCTATTTTCAGTAAATTGAACAATTTCCAAAAAATTCTAGTAAGGAAACTTGAGAAGTCAAACTTTAAGTTGATTAATGCCAACAATTCGGTAGAATTCATACAATACCTACTGTATAAAATATGGTTTCCTTCCAACATATATTATTATTTGATTGGCATGCTTGTAAGTGCCCTTTAAAAAGATTTCATCATGTAAAAAACTTGAAAGAAAAAAATTTATTTATCAAATTTAAGCGTAACAAAATACATTCTATATAAAACTGAATAATATATATATATATATAACCTCATTGAGCTAAAGAATCGAATTTCTGAAATAATTTTAAATAATTTATTATAATTCACAGCAAATAATTTTTTTTCGTCTCAGTTCATTTATTTTTCAATACTTTTTGAATAACCACATTCGTTATTTTACACGTATAAATAAATAAAACAAAATAATTTTTTCAGATATTGGAACACTGTTATTCCTTTGCCTTGTCGGTATAGATACATCAATAATCCGTGGAAATGCTTCTTTGGGCATCATATATACCCAACATTACTAAGTACTTTTTAAATATTTTACGGAATTTTACATTACTTAACACATATGTAACAATGTTTAACAGCCGAAGTGTTTGTAGTGCAAAACCTTTTTGATGAAGCTCAAATTATAATGAACAATGTAGGCGTCCAATCGGTTTACGATCAGCAAAATCAGATGAGAAATCTGGGAGTCAAAATTAAAAGTTCATTGTCTAGCGTCAAGTAAACATTTTTATTTATTTAAAAGCCAGCCACTTCATTTTTAATATTGTTCATTTTATTTAATTTTGCAGATTTATGTTTGTGCCAGCTTGTTTATCTCATGCTATTCTTTTGCGAAGGTTGGTTTTTAAACACTTTCTCATTAAGTTCATCTGCAAAAAATAGAATATTGCGTAGACGACATGACCAATTTTAACTAAAGTTTCAAATAATTCAACATTTATATTTAAAAACTTAAAATTTAAATGAACTATTTGCTTAGCACCAAAGGCTGGCATTTTGTATCTAAGAGTTTATAACCGGTAACGGCTCTAACACGCAACTAACAACGAGCCGTTCTTGCGCATAGTAGGGTACCCAAAAAAATATTTGCTAAACTTTTAGAATAAGTCTATAGCATCAGAATTCAGAATCAGTTTATAGTTTGTTCCAACGTTTCATTTTCTTTATGGTGGTGACAGTTAATGAAAACCGAGGGTGTGCATTGGCATCAATCTTTATAAAGTTGCAGCCCGAATATACTTCAGGCAGGTAAACCGCAAAATTAGATGTGGGAAAATCACGGAAAGTATTAAGTTCTAAAAATCTAATAAGATTTTTTAAAAATTTTATTTGATTTTAGGGCTTTGCAGTTCACAGTATGGTGCTATAATGTGTCTTAATTATTCTGATTTAATTTAATTTAACATAACTTTGATTTTGCTTTTTGTTCAATTTTATTAATTCTTTTATTATTGATTAATATATCATGTTTTGTTCACTTGATTCATTTAGTTGTTAATAATAATAAAAAATAATCATATAAAAATTAAATAAGTGAGAAAAAAATAATAATAAATAAATAATTAATTAATTAATTAATTAAATAACAAATAAAGTAGAATGAAATAAAATATTTTGCTAAACGTACGAAAAATTTTGGAAAATTTTAAAACCTTTAAATTATTGATCGTAACCATCGCTGTTAAAATCATTTTGGAAAGTCAGCGCTGTAGTTTTGAGTTTTTGAAAATTTATACCAACATTTATTAAATGTTAGAGACTTTGTAAATTAAATACTATTTGTGCTTGAGCGAATATAGATGCGTGCTCGCTTTTTTAAATGTTCGATTATTGACAGAGAACACACGATATATCTGTTACATTATGTTACACTAACATCTAACAATTAGCCATGATAATTTTTGATAGTTATGTAAAATGTTATTAATTATTTGACATAGTTACGAAAATTTTTTGAGGTGGCTGTGCTCAATGAGTCAATTTGGTGACTCCTTACAGTCACTCAACCTGTACCTTTTACTTTTTTGGGGATCAAATAAAATGTTGTATATTGTTGTACAAATGCTTCTTAATTTGCTGTAGATTTGCTTGGAACACTGTATTTTAACGAACACAACAATAATACTCCCATAGCTGTATTAAAATTTTATTTCAGCGATTGGCGTATCATTGAAATTGAAAGCATTTCATTACCAGAGCTTTTGTATTGCTGGGGAAAACATAACAAACGTGATAACATCCTAAAGTACGTAAACGCGTGAATACCAATCTTTTATATACTAAGTTGTTAATTTGTATTTCTGTAGCAAAACAAAGAGTACAAAAAACAAGTCAACTAGCTCCAAATCTTTTCATATGTCTTATGAAGGTAAACTTTAATATTTTACATAAAACAATATATGATGATAAAAATATTTTTTCAAACATAGACAAATTAACAAGAAAGAGACATCTTGCAGTCAAAAAACTCTACAAACATGAAAAAGAGGATTTTTCAAATATTGAGAGAACAAAAAGAAACGACAATCGCAAGATTCATTGTAAGAAAAATATGAATCACTATAATCTTATGGACAGATGTCAATGGCCCCAATGTAATTTATCATGTCCGAAGTTCAAAGACGCACACTCGAGTTACGATAATGTTTTTTCAAGATTCCAGCTGGATTCACAAAATTTGTCTGAATCGTTTGGTGTCGTTAATAATATGTTAGAAACTAGATGATATGTAGAATGATTCTTTCAAACACGATTTTTGTGAATATTTTAATCATTGGAAGTTAAATTTGAAAGTAATATTTTAAAGTGTACGAAGCACGTAGTTTGAATATATATCATAGGACGGTTTTCACAATTTTGGTCGAATTAAACCTAATTATATTAAAGTTTTAAACATTTCAATTAAACTTTTATAATTCAAAGGAACACGACTCTTTACAATACGTGCATGGATCAAAAACAATATGTGAGGTTTATTACCAAACGTTATATAAATTAGTTTTTCTCCATATAAAAAAATTTGGTTCGTTGTTTGAATATATATCATAGAACGGTTTTCACAATTATGGTCGAATTAAACCTAATTATATTGAAGTTTTAAGCATTTCAATTAAACTTTTATAATTCAAAGGAACACTTTTATTCTATATCCTGGAACATTATTTGGAACAACGAGAAAAATGTAATCCAACCCAAAAGATCTCATATTTGAAAAACGACGTAAAATAGAAAATCTGCAGTTGAAATCGTTCAAGGGAACTATTTACTACTGAAAGTTATGTAAGGATACATGACAACTCCCACTGAAATTTATTTTCTCCAGTGACATCTAAAACACTTGAAATTTTGGTGCGTTTGATCACCTTGCATATATCTTTTCTTAAATACGTAAGTAACTTTCACAATCGCGCTCAATTTTGTGACTTTAGTACAGAGCAAGCCATATATAACATTTTTAAACCATTAGGCACGTAGATTTTTTTATCTGATCAAAGAATTTAAGTTTGTATATAATTCCAAATAATATGCATTGGCAGATATGATTAGATGCCATGGACTGAGATAGTATGGAACAGACTAAAAATGAAAAACATGATCCCATGGGAAGAAACCAGGAAGGAATTGCGAGCTTGATGTCATTTATATCTTATGTTATATCCTCCGGATCCCCACACTTGTTCATTCAAACAACTGGCTAATCCTGGAAGATACTAAATAAGATCAGAAAACATCGGGGTGATCACGCCATAGAAAAAAGTGGTGTCAAAAAACTTGAAAGTACTTAGTACTTGAGCAATAACTAGGCAGGGCACAGAATGATTGAAAAAGAACAAAATATACGTATTAAAATTGGAGAACCTAAATATACGTATTAAAATTGGAGAACCCGCTAATGCTCTTCTAGCAAACCATAACTGGTTTGCTAGAAGAGCATTAGCGGGATTTTGGCACGAACGCTGAATCGGTCATCAAACCCATATGCATTTACAAACGCTTATTATGTAATCAAATAGCTTTTACACGATCATATTGATAAGTTATGTCGTGCTAACATTTTACTAAGTTGATTACATAACGGCATCTTTTCATCCTTGTTTCAATATATGAATATAAGGCCTATGGATAACTTGTTTTCTGGATATATTACTAAATACCCACACATTCTAAGTATACGTACATTTTTTTGCAAACACATATATGTATACTATAGTGTATAATGAAATGGCCAGTGATACCGGCTGTCCATACTATTGAAAATGTTTATTTTGACAAGAGGAAACTTCGCAGTCCTATGTTTGCTAAGACTGGTTAACATTGTTTCATACGAGCCACTGGGATTAAAATTGATATTTTTGTTCAGTTCATCAATGAAATTAGCACAACGGCTTACTTAACTTTTCCCTCTGTTAGTGAATTTGATAAAAAAAAAACTAGTAAACGCTGTTTGTTAATTAAGATTTGCACATTGTTGCACTGCGCTTTCTTTGCTATAGATAGTTGCTGCTGTAAAGTGTTGATAATAAATTTTTTTATAATACTCAAAAAGGAATTTTATTTTGTATTGATTATCATTATATTCATAGAAATCTTTTTATAAATTCCAGACTTGACAAAGGATGTATTGTCTACAATGGTTGATACCTGTGTTGTTAATTCCAAAACCTGTAAATCCAGCCTTCTTTTACAACCACGCAATGTTTATAATATTGTATTTAATCAGCTTTTTTATTCAACAAAAACCATGTGCCATATGTAGCATAATATTCATAGTTGCCTTGTTTGTAATGTGCTACAGCAACATCGATGGTTGTGTGGTATGGCCTTGTGGTGAAAGCACCATGTAATTGCTGTGCATGAAAACATTTCATAGGTTTTGTTTGAACTGCATGTTATACATTTTTATTTAATTCTAAAATAAATTGTTTATCCAGTTTTTGATATTATTACACTAAATTATTCAAACTTGAAAAAAAACAGTTGATCACCAAAGTATTATTAGAATAGGAAAATAGGTATTATCTCGATTTCTTTTTTCCTCCTTCCATAGATTTTCTTTCTCCAGGTGGAGCTACAAACTGTTCTTCTAAAACAACATCTTTGATTTTGGGAAATTCTGGCTGTTCTGAAATCTTCAATTCCATATTTGTTTTTTCTTCATAAAATCTTAGTTTTTCTTCTTTTTGAGTTAAATCAATTAGCTTCTTGGCTATTTCATCTTTTTTCAGTTTTATTTTCAGTTGCCTTTCTCGATCTTCAATAAGCCTATTTCTCTCCTTATTCCATGTATCATATATATTTTTTTGGTTTTGTATGAGATTATTTTCTTCTGATGAAATTGAATCTCTGACTATTTGATCTAGTGTCTTGTCAATTATGTCCTCTTTTTGGACCAAACCTTTGTTTACTAGACAGTTTTTTACAGCCTGTTGAAAAATAGTAAAATTAAATTTTTATATCGAAATTTTTGGCAAGAATAAAGGATAAACTTAGATCGGCATTTCAAGAGTAACAAATTATAAAAAAAAGTTGCTTTAAAAACGTAGCTCATGGTGTGAAGTTTTACTATCCCCACTTCATTGTGCAATCAATGAAGTTCAATCTGCAAATTTACACGCTGCATTTCTTGCAATGTTTAATATTTTGTCGGAGTATTTATTAATTTATTTTATTAATTAATTCAATTAAGTCTGAATTCCTTTATTACTGTCATCAGAAATAAGCAATTATACAAAATTTACGTTTAATTAAACAACGGGAAGTTATTTAAAAATCGATTACGAGATTTACAAACAAATGGGTGAAGCTAATTTAAGATTGGTAAAAACTGGTTAAATAGGTTAAGATCGAAGAGCATCGAAAAAATAGTTAGCTACTTTATCCTAGGGATCATTTTAAAAAGGTATGAAACACAGATGATCATATATCAAACAACTGCCTAAATTTGAGATGAAAATTTTGGAAGGCTTAATTTCTTGTGTTTTCGAAAGATGTTTTAAATGATAATCATTGTTCAAATCTACATACAAAGCTCTATTAAAAATTAAGAGTTAACGGTAACTTGTATGTAATTTGTGGGAAAAATGTTATGTAATTATGAAAACAAGTGAGAGTCAATGCTGGAAAAAATCAGAGCGTAAAGATTTTCAAAACTTCGAAATTAATGCCGTTAGTTAGATTCAGCAGCCAGTTTTTCATCTCCTAATAACTGTTGCAAATGTAAACTAACAGTAAATTCCTCAGTATAATTTTACCATCGACCCATTTAAAATAGAGAAATTGAAAAAATTTAATAGAAATAAAATTCAAAACGTTATTCATATCTTAAAAACTATACCTGAAATTCAGTAATGAATAATTCTTTTTGCTGCTTTGTAAAATAGGGGAGGAGGTCAATGACTCTTCTCAATCCAGGTTCTCTGACTTGTCGCTGCTCA